CCAGGTAGAAATGAAATTTATCTGTAATAATTCAATACTGCTTTCTCCTTCTGTCGGTAGTCACTGGATCATTACCTGTTATACGTGTCTTGACTAATACACTAGATACTATTCAAATTCCAGCTGCGGATTGGGATCTTGGTCAAGCTTTGAAATGTCGTTTCACGTGCACTTCTAATGAATGCGGTGATGTGTGTGGAATGTTAACAGGGGGAACTATTTCTGCATCTGGTTGTACGATAGAATGGAATACTGTTTTTAAAACGGGTCAAACAGCTTCTACATATATAGTTGCTATCATGGGCGAAGATTTTTCGAATACTGGTAGATCAGCGCTAAGTGCTGTATCACTAGAAATGGCTATTTATGTATATAGTGCCGGTTCTGGCGCATGTGTGAATGACTCACCACAGGTTATTGGAGCTAGATCTAATCGAGCATGTATTGGTAAGTAGAATGATGGAATCAAATCAGCCTAATAATACTGAAATCATGGATTGTTTTGGCATGTTTGTCTATAGCTGTTACAGCTGGTGTTCAATTCAATGAACAAATTTATGCTAAGGTCTGTTGTAATACCCATTGCATTGTAGAATATACAACAACGTCATCGTTATACATGACAAAATCATCGACAATAACAAGCATGGGGCTAAATAGCAACGAGCACGTGCAATTTGATATTACACTCACTTGGACGTCAGTATCAGACCAAGTTGGTAAAGAGAAGACATAGATAATTTAGAATTTCTGATTCGCAAATATGCCTCGTCTTGTGGTATATAAGCCCGCAGGTGCATTGTGCCTGCGCACTTGATAATAATGGCTTATCTGGATCACAATACTGCTTTACGTATGTTGTTGGTGCTACTAGCCCCGATCTTGAACCTATCATTGCCGTTGAGGGAACCGAATCACCTGTGGACGTCGTATTTTCAAATCAATCAATATTCAGTATACAAGGTAAAATTCATGCATTTTTTTCTCTTTTGAAATAAACTGTATAAAAACATCAAGAAATTATATGTATCGAGTTTACACGCTGAAGTGGAATTGAAATGGATTGCTTTTCTTCATGGTCTTGACTGAATTTTTTGTTGTCTACGCGAACAGGAAAAAGACGTGTAATATACTGCATATTAAGTCGAAATACAGAGCAGCACAATATTGTTAGCTTTTTTGATATTTATAAGCCTCTTTTAGCGTCTGCTTCTGTTCATCGTCCTAATCGTAATGGTACCTATGTTAAAATCTATCATCAAAATGGTACCATGGTTTGGTCAATTGATTGTAGTTGGAGTCCGGATGTTTTTTATACAAATCAAACAATTATATTTATTGTACGAAATCCGAATTGGGATGCTGGAGCTCTTTATTATATTAATTTTGATAATGGTGCATCATCTGGCACAGCTTTCTGTGACCCGGAATCAGCACCAATCACAAGTAGGTAACGACAACTACCACCACACCGGGAACAGTCCCTCCTGTCACCACTCGAGTAAATGTTTCTATTAAACATAGAGAAAAAACAACGTTCTGTTATTCTTTTTTTATTCATAGTCTTTGTCTACGACGACACCCATACCCGATCTGCCCGGACTGCCCAAGCCGCATTTTAGTGTCTCTTCGTATTGTGACTCTGTTAAAATACGTTTTTTGGTGTTTTAAAAAATCAAAAGAGTTCTTTTTCGGTTTTTTGCTCAAACAAACCCTTTTGCTTTTTAAAGTACAATTTCTCAGTTTAGGAAAAATTTTCCACTTAATGTTTCATTTCTGAACCTTTTCGGTTTTTCGAAATATGCTTTTTTTTAAGAGAATAATAGAGGAAAAGCAAATATGCAAAATATCGTTTTCTGTATTTTAATGAAGGAAAAAGTGTATTATTGTTGCATACTAAAAGTATTCTGAAGTTTTATTTGAAAATACTAATTATTCGAAGACCATTAATCGAAATGTTTTTGTATTTTACCATCTTTAGCTTGTTGAAAAATTTCACGTATTTGATCATTGGACGCTTCTTGATCAGCCGTACGACCATACTGATTATTTATATTTGGAGAACATCCATGTTCCAATAAATACTTAACAATGTCATAATAACCATAATATGCCGCAACATGCAACGCGGTTGAACCATTTGGCTCAAGTTTGTCCGGATTAACCTTAATGAATAAACTTTTAACTTTATTTAAATCACCTTTTTCACATGCTATATAAAATGGACTTGGTTCAGTACTCATACTTAAATTACTTTTGATCTACAAGGCAAAAAAGAGATATTCACATAACACATTGTTTCGATTACTCGCTGAAAAAAATAATCAAAATTCATGCAGGATCCCGCAGGACTTTGTGCAGGATCCCGCGGGTTATCGATATTAAAATATCTGGCGATGTTTCTTACCTTTACGCAGGATTTTTATACCGCCAGCCCTGATAGAACCCTGCATAGTTTATGTAGGGTCAGCCTCGAAGAAATCCTGCGTAAAGGTAGGAAACATCGCAAGACTTTTTAGTGTTTTCCTACGAGATCTGGCGGAATTTTGTTGGTTGAAAGAAAAAGGATTTTGTTCTCCATGTCTATCCTGCGGTATCCAGCAATCTTTTCTCACCAATGTCTGTCAAGATGACCGTAGAGGAAGTTATCTGTATTTTAGTTTTTTGGAAAGTTAAGTACTTTTTCTTATAAAGTTATAAAAAATTTTCTGGTGTTCAATAAACTTCTAGAAAACGTATACCTTAATATTTTGACTTTAACGCGTATTTTCATGTGTACAAAACCAGACTATTAATAGATAGCTAAAAAGATCTTTTTTATGTCAGGAATATTCTATTTTTTCGTAATATTCGTTTTTCTAAACCTGGATCAATAGCTATTTAATTTTAACGAAGTTATTTTGTCTACTCAATGATAGAATTTAACTGTTTAATAGAAAAGCTTTTGCAAAGAAACAATACTCATGAATGAAACAATGGCAAGGGTCTGACGAAACGAAAGGCTGAAAGTTTACAACAATTGTGATAATAAATTGAAGAAGTATTTTACACGATATGAAAATGGTACTTTGTCTGGAACTGAACTTGCAATTAAATGTGGCAAATGTGTTAATACTTTAAAATTACCTGTTTCATTGTAACTCGTAAATAAAATAATAAATGTAAC